ATACGAAAATACAATTAGGAAAATATTCTTCAAAGTAAAACATAAAAACCGCAGCAAATAATTGTTCTGTATTTGATTACAGGACAACCCTCACATTTCAACAACCCGGAAGTGGCATTCCTTAGATGTTGTCTTATAATGTAAATAAAACGTATTGCTGCAAAGATTTACAAGAGAGAATGAACATAACAATGAAGACAATAATGAAATAAAGTTTAAATTTAATGAAGAAAGGTCACTGCTAACACTTTACAGAAGTGAAACTTGGTTTAAGAAAGACGAAAATGCTGGCAAAATTAAGAAAGTGGAACTTAAAGTTTCAGGGCTGCTTGCTGCCCATCCACCAATGCCGTGTCGATGGAGGTAGTAAGCATATCTGAAACGTCGGTAAACTTCTACCAGACTACACGGCCCAAAAACCCAGAAGACAGCTTTCGGAAACCGACAGCCTCTTAATATCTGAATCTACAAATGTATGAAACAAGGACGAGGTCATAATTAGGAAAATGGACGGTTGTCTGCGTGCTGTTCTAAAAGAAAAAGGTCTCACATAACGCTAATCAAGAGAGGTTAAACAGTACAATTTGCCAACATCGGCATCACAATCGTATCTAAAAGTTCCGTTGACCCCTATGCACGAAGAGAAAACTTCGAAGAAGCAGGTGTCGTACGGTTTTCCCAGAACTTCTCATCTCCCACAATTAACTTCATCTCTTTCCTTTTTCTTTCCAGAAACTAGCTACAGCCGTAGAAACATTTACTTGTATATAATTACTGCTGACTGCATCGTAGTTTGCAGAAGGAGTGGACCAGCCTCCAATAATTGATTATTACACCAGTGTATGTATGGTTTGATCCAGGTTTGTATAGACCAAAGTTCAAATTTACAACCTCTCGAGTCATAAAACCATACGCTGATGACACCTATCGAAAAATAAAATTCTGACGGTGAGAACATCATGTAATAAATTCTGTACATAATCAAAACCTTACACTACGTGTCTTGTGCATTAACGCGTACAGTCTACTCAAAAGATGTATACCAACATCTAAGAAATCGCCTCCAAAAGTCTCTCAGAAATGCTGCGGATCAAAATACCATAGAAACAATATCTCTCAGGTTAAGAAATTTAAGACTATTTGGAAGATCGAGACATTGATGGTATGGCAATACTGACATGGGTATTAGAAAAATTGGTTGTGGACATGATTAAACTAACACGATTAGGCTATTTTTGTGTCGACTCTTATGAATCGTCGGATTCCGGCATTTCCGGAATTTCATAATCAGGAAGAATTAATGACCTTCTCAATAATAACTGAGCATGTAATAAGCCTGCAAACCAGGAAAACGAGTTGCATGTCAGAAAAAGTAACGCGATCCAACAACACGAGGAACACAAACCACATTCTGGCTACATTAATGCAAACAGAGTCAGTGCAATTCATGTCACCTAGCATTGTGATTTTATGTGCAGTAGATATAAAGCCATAACTCATGCCATTAAAAATGGATTTCTGTTAAATGCACATTGCATTCCACTGTAGTTCTTGTAAAGCAGCCACTGTGTTACCAGGCAGTGTTACATACGTAAACACACATTATGGTCGGAGTGATTTATAAACGGCGATTCGCAGATACTTGCAGGTCCACAAGTCCTGCTTACAGCTGTCCATATGGGGAGACCTATATTTCCTACCCACAGCTTAAAAAATTGTTTTACCCCTATCCACCTTGTAATTTCATTTTTATTTCCAAAGGATAAAGAGTGTGGCCAGATCTGACTACGCCAATCGGAGGAGAGTATATCGTGCCCTTCCATATGTATATTTTGAACTTTCTTCAATATAACGTGTTTGCCCCCCAAAAATTAGATGCCGTGACTTTTGAAGTAACCCTCGTATATATATATATATATATATATATAAACACGTTTTTCGAAATGCTGGCATTTTTATTTTTCGACACAGTGCAACACGATTTCACCAATCTCACCGAAACGTTAATTAGCCTATTAGCCTTTCCGTTATTCCACCGACCTGACACATTCCTTCATAAGTATGTTTAAATAGCAATGTTCAATACGGATAATTACACCACATACGCCTGGTGGTCTTAATTTATGTCGGGCAGCTTTACCTTCGTACTCAACAGACTATTGTTATCTGCTTGATTACATGCAAAGTGTGGTGCAGGTGGCGAAATTGCAAGCCATGGCAACGAAAGGTTCACTTACCAAGTCTGACGCGCTAGTATTACTGCACTAGCATATCATTATTTGTGCAGTGCCATATTATTTAATGTGAGTTACAGGCTGTCCCGTGAATCGAATCACCGAACGAATTGAAAAACTGACAGACAACGCTTTCTTCTGACAGCAGCACAAAAAGTATTGTAAAAAAGTTTAGGTCTCCCTATTTCTTTAAGGGCTCTGGTTTTATCTGTTAAAATTTTAGATAAGCCCTTTAATTATTTATTTTGTAATTACAAACATGTTTATTCTAAGTCGAATACTTAAGTAGCAAAGAGCCGGAATTTGTTTTACGACAAGGGATGTTTAGGCCTCAGCCCAAGACTCAAAATGTAGAACCACCCCTTTTTTTGGCTATCCGTGTCTACTTATTCAACATTTCGGCTATGCTACGTAAAAGGAGACAGTGTCATTCATCAGGAAACTGACGATGCGCTTACCTTGTCAGGAGAAAAGAGGTGTGCCCCCACTGTTGCAACTTGCAAGATAACTTGGCGGCTATTGTCGAGTTCCGCAGGTGAACTGTACAGAGCCTCGCTCAGGAAATATGCTTCTGTACTGGAAAGCCTGAAACAGAAGTGTAATGTTTCATGTTTCTTTATTAGACAGGAATTCTGACGCTTTCGAAACCACCACTTCTAAATTCACAGCCTCATAAGCACTTCCTTCATCGCTCAGGGCAAAATCTCAACCACCAGACAGGATATTTTAATTGGCACTAGTGCTATCAACACGAAACATTTAGAACCGAAAAAAAGTCTGAAGAAACTTTTTAGTTATAATCAGAGAACAATAAACAATTGCTTTATTTTTCATAACCTTTGTTTTCTTCGAATGCTTTCGTATCCTTTGCCTCAATTCTGCTTTATGACAAGAGAATAATTTACCTGATAGAAGGTTCAGTATTTCGCAACAAAATAATCCCAAAAGCCTCTTGAATTCAAGCAGCTCATTTACCGTAATTTCTTTGTTTTACGTGACGTACACCCATCCCACAACGTACTCGTTCTATCCCACACCAACTTCGACTTCTGTTCTAAACCTCTGTATTTTTCTTTCTTTTATTTTCTTACTGATTGTCTTATTTTTCTTTCTTTCGACAACTAATTGCTTCGTCCTGGAGTTCCGACTAACTGCGGTTCCTGGGGAAACGAGAAGAAATGTGTTAAAGTAATCATCAACAAACTCTGCACAGAGTTTGTCTTTCAATTCCTTCCAGAACATAAAGCTTTGAGTCAGAGCATAATTACATCTCACCGTCTAGCACATGCGTCTAATCAAATGTTTAGATTACATTATTAAACAATCTCCATGTGTACTGTTCTTCGTGCAGACATGTAGATACAGGTAAAGTTGGTAAAGCAACAATATATGAAGACGTATGGGGATGTGGAGGTATTATCCTCGAATTAAGCTCAGCACTAGACAGAGAGGAGCGACCATGTCACGCCCCAGATGTTTGCTTCTGGTACCCTAGAATCCAAGACTACACGGTCCTCAGACACGGTTTGGTCACGGAGTCAAACACAGAAATCCCTGCCGGGAATCGAACCCCATTCGTCCAGCCCGTAGGAATACAAATATGTGTTTGAGCCCTTAAGCCTCATTATAACATTAAAATCAATCAAAACAGTAACATTCTTCTGATGTCACAACAGCTGACACCACTAAACACAACGTGACAGCAAATGGAAAACACACGAAGTCAAGATACGAGATGTGTTACAGAAGTTAATAAAACCTGAATAATTAGAAACCAAGAAACTGAAGTATCAATAGGAATCATTGCAGTTTACAGTCTTATACAATAACTTCTTTTAAAATATTTTAACAATGTAATGTTGTAGTAATTTTAAGAATGATTAATATAAACTTTTAATACTTCAGAATACTAACTGACCCCAGAAGATCGCGAAATTATCGCCGAAGCATATTGCGTTGAAGCATACAACATTTTCGTTTCTGGAATGTAAAAGTATATAAATACTTGCGTAATGATGGCTACAATATAAGACCATGACTGCCCAAAATCCTTACAAACAACTAAATGAATTGGTCTATTAAAATATTTTTCTTTTCGCCACCGCGTACAGACCCACACAGCCTCGTATCCAGTGGTTACAGTGACTACTTCCAGGGAGATGAATTTGCCGGAGCGTGAAGCTAAGCACTCGTCTTCAAATGGCGTTGAGGTTTAGAATGCTTGGAGCCATACCTCCACTACACAGTAACAGACGCTTAATTAAGAACAGCCATAACTTTAACTGTAGACCTACCTACGTAATGTTGACAAAGAATATCATTCACACGCAGCGAAGCTTAGGCGTACTGGGACCAACTGCTCAAAAGAGGAGTGTCGTTTAGTTGGAATGTGTGCGGTGCGGTCGCCGGCAAAGCTTAACTAAAGGAGATTCAAACCTCATGCCAGTTTCTAAAGCACTTCCAGTAGGTAATTAACGGAACTGTGATCATGTCAGGATACTAATTATAAGCCACATTTCTGTACCGGAATTTAAGATCTCGCGTCTCAGACGTTTTCCAATTAAAAAGTTGGTAGTGCTAATTGCGCTCGTCCAGTGAAGCGTAAAGCAGTTTTGCAGACATTTCATAATCTTGTAATGCACTGGAAAGAAAGCGGCATTTCAGATATCTTTTAAACCGACAAGAAAACACGTTATTATTATTTAACAAAATCACGCAGATAACAAACAGGCTGCCAGATATTAAGTACGCGAAATGAAAACTGGACAAAAGATGGACAAAATATACGGAATGACGAAATAACAAACGCATTATAAAGATTTCAGTCTTCTGGGTTGTTGCGCAACAACCCAGAAGACAGAAATCTTCATACTCACCGCTGTGAAAACCTCAAATCTTATAAACGCATTATAAATATTCTCTTCACAGAAACGCTTTATTTCAGACACGAAGGGGTGAAATTTTAATGAAATGGCAAACTTCTACCGTACTACAAAGCCCCTACAACCCAGAAGATAGCCATCCTCGTACACACCACCGTGAGAACTTCAACCCCCACGTGTACATAATTTGCTGATAAAGAGACTTGCCCATCACACAAATAATCAGATTTAATTATTCCTAGACACAAAGGCTGTACTCGGACAACAGCAAAATACGTAACAAGCTTCACATGATGTTGTGTCAGGAAGGAGGCGGTTTCATCTCGTTCACATGCAGTTTTATGACGTCATTATCCCACTGGTAGGCAGATACGGGATAATTATGTCACATAAATAAGAAGAATGACACACACTCCGTTTTACTATTCTTTTAAACGAATCGTAAATTATAGCATTTGTGTTTAAGAGCTATTACAATATACAATAATTAAAAAAGAATTATAGAGACAACCGGTTACCTTTGTATGTTCTACACATACGATACGCAGCCATATATCATAAAAGTTCTTCTTATTAACTTATAGTCTGTTTTCTGCAATCAGCTTAGCTATGTGATTTGTGTGTTTCCTTTTTTGAAATGTGAATACGCGCGTAGGTTTCAATGTTTCAAGCTGTACAGTCACGGTTTCATTATGTGGAGACATTTTGTGAACGTGCTAGCTAACCGATTCACCGGTATTGTCACAGACTGCGAACGTTAGACACCGCTAACACAAAACCCACTAATCTACCTGACCCAGGGCAGGATTAATCGACGACACGGTGTTTGAGAACAGGGCGCTTACGAAAATACTTGGACCAAAGAGGGATTAAGAGACAGGAGGGTGGAAAAATCTGCTTTAAGAGAAGTTTCACAGCTTGTACTTTTCAGCCGACATCTTTAGGGCGAACACATCAAGGATCATAAGATGGATGGGGCATGTAGCACGCTTGGTGGAGATTTGAAATGCATACAGAAGTTTGGCTGGAAACGATTGCCCGGAAAATGGGACAGTACAATTACAATTAATCTCAGGGAAATGGGGTTTGGAGTGTGAAATGGGTTAATGTGATTCAGGATAGGAAACAGTTCTGACGGTAATAAACCTTCTGGTTCCAGAGAAGGCGCAAAATGTCTTGATCTGCTGAGCGTACTTAGATTCTCAAGGACTCCATACCATGGCGTTAAAGAAATGCGGAAGTGTTTGGACATGACCGTTGAAATAAAGCTGGACTGCTAATGATAAAGATGCTACTTAACTAAGCACCACGCCTTACAGACGTAGGAAGGAGTGGAACTACAGCTCCACGCATTTATAACCTCGGCACTTGGTTCAGCAATAACAACAACCGAGTCTTCTGATAGAACCTATATATCACATACATAAATATTTCCCAGACGAGAAGGTGAATAAGTTCAAAGGTCAAAAGTGTTCCTCCCAAATTTAAGAGGTAACGTCAGATGCTACTGAATATAAATGGACACATTTCTTCAAGTTGATAGGAACCTTATCCGCCCAAGATGTTAGCTAAAAGAGAAAACACGTGTCCCTCTCAACGGAAAACTTTCCGTCTTGGCTTTCAGAAAATTACACACTGCGTACACGTAACATAATATGGTGTGAGTTGGACAGAACAGTGAAAAATATACAACTCAGAATTACATACAAATAACGTTGAAAATTTACGACGTAAAGGTTGTAAAATATAGTTATAACAAATCGTTGTCACGTGTTTAAAAGAATACACGAGTCCAGAATCAGGTTCTCAAGAAACGAAGCTCAGTAAATGTTTCTCGGTTGGTCAACACAGTATGAGCCGTAGGATTTGAGGTTCTCACGGCGGTGAGTTTGAAGATGTTGTCTTCTGGGCTGTTGAAGAAACAATGGCCCGCGGACCACCATATGGCACGAAGTCGGCTGTCTTCAGCTCAGTTTAGTCTAGCACACGAAGCTGAACACTGATTAAGATTAGGCCTATACTTTACTGTTTACAAAACGACAATGTTAGATGAAACAGCGCTACTGTACAACCCTGACCTAGGTGAAGGCAGACTTAAACACAAATCACACATCTTTCAAGGTTACAAAACAACTTCCTACCTCTCTACTATACATGATTACCAATAACAGCCATCTTGAAGAAACAATGCATCGCTTAACATTGTTACTCGTTGCGCTGCGGAACGAGTCATATATTTTTCTATAAAAACGGAAAATTCAAATAACGTACGCTCCATTTAGGGACATCCAAAATGATAAAGGTTTTTTAACACTTTCACAGAGCGGTTTTACGAAAAAGCTGCTCCTTTTAACGAATTTTATACCAACGCCGAAGGAATTTATAGAACGCGCGTTACAGCCTTTACAAAAGGCCGAGATAAACGCGCTCAATGGGTCGAAGGGGGGGGGGGCGGAAATTAAGTTCGACCAGCGGCGATGATTCGCTAATCTTATAAATAATACAGCCGTCTTTATTTTCTCACAGTCTACGCAGCATATAAAAACCAACATTTTAATATACAGCCAAAATAATGAGAAACACGAATGTTCTTGTCTTTTTCATCGTCCACACTGAGATACATTTTGTACACACGACGTTTCGACAATTGACATCCCGTCTTCAGATGATTGGTGGCGACGGAGACAAATCATGTCCTTGTGC